CGCCGAGCGCAAGAGGACGGCTCGCCGCCCGTCGAGACGGCGGTGCGGGCGCTGCTGTGGCTGCTGCTCCTCCCGCTCGTCTCGATACTCGACTTTGTAGCAGTCGGCCTCGCGCTGGCCCGCACCTCCCGCGGCTCGCCAGCTGCTTCCGCCGAGGCGCAGATAGCACCGGCACTTGCCAGTACGCCTCCCGCGGTCGCCCGGGCGGCCGCGGTGTGGAGCGACGCTCTCCGCGGCGCCCCCTCCGCCCCCCTGCCGCTACACCTGCTCACCTCCTCGGCTGCGACCGGGGTTTTGGAGGGCACATGGGACAGCCTGCCCCTCTCGGAGGCGTCCTCCGAGGCGCTGCGGTCTCACGCGGCGGCGCTCGGCTGCCAGCCGCTCGAGGTCGCTGCTGTGGCGCTTGCGTGGGTGGCGGCAGTGCACAGCTGCGAGCCAGACGCGACGGTGCTGGTCGAGGGCGGCGACGTGGGCGGCTGTGTGCCTCTCCGCTTGCTCGCCGAGGGCGAGGCGACGCTTCGGGACCTCTGCTTCGCCGCGGCGGGGCAGCTCTCCGCCGGCTGGCCGCACGCGATGAGGGCCGACGAGATCGCAGCATGCGGACCTGCCGAGTGGCGGACTGCGCGGCACCCGCTCGGCCTCCGCGTCACCCCTCTCGCCGGCTGCGGCTCCCCCGGCGCGTTGGTGGTCCTCGAGGTGCCCCCCGCCGGCGCTGTGACCTTGCATTTTGCGGCCAGCCACATCTCCGCCGCCACCGCCGCACGCCTCGCCGAGCGAATCGGCCGCTGCTGCCTCGCTTCGGCCGAGGAGCGCCTGAGCGGCGTCCCTCTGATGGGCGAGGCCGAGGCGCACGAGGTCACCATCGCGTGCAACCGCACAAAATCAGCCTTTCCGCTGCCCGCGCTGCTTCCGGCCGCGCTAGCCGGCGCCAAGGCGCTCGAGGCATCGGCAATCGAGACGCCGGCGCTCGAGCCGCCACCCGCCGAATCAGCCACCGTCCACGCCGCCTTCTACAGCGCCGCCGCGCGCCACCCCGACGCCGTCGCCCTCCGCTCGGTCGGCGAGCAGGCGGGAGGCGTGGCGGTCGGAGGGGCGGTGACGTATGCGGAGCTCGCCGCTCGCGTCGGACGGTGAGCTCGCCATCTCGGCTACACGCCTCAGACACAATCGCGGCTGCATCTCGGCCAACCTCGGCTCGAGCTCGGCCATATCTCGCTGCTCGCGCCGGCAGGCTGGCCGCGGCACTCGAGGCGACCTGCCTGCTCTCGCCGTCGCAGCGGCTGGTCGCCACTATCCTCGACAGGGGCGTCGAGATGGTGGTCGCTCTCCTCGGCACGCTCACCGCTGGCGGCGCGTACCTGCCGATGGAGCCCGACTTCCCAGCCGCGAGGGTGCGCGAGATTGCGGAGGAGGTTTGCGACGCCCGCCCTCGCGCACGCCCAGAAGGAGCCCTTTATTCACGGCCCCAGCTCCAAGCAGGCGACGCCCGCCCTCGCGCTCGTCCAGACCGAGGAGATGGCGGCGCTCTTCTCTCCGCCCGACGGGGACCACCCCGCGCCGCACCCAGTCTTCCTCGTCGACGCCTTTGGCCGGCTCTCCCCCGCCGCAGGGCTCTCCCCTGTCACGGTTTACGAGCCGGGCGGGCTGGCGGGTCCCACCGAGGGCGCGGGCCCGCTGCAAACGGGAGTGGACGACCTCGTGTACGTCATGTACACGTCGGGAACGACGGGGAAGCCCAAGGGCGTCATGGTGGAGCACGGGCCTCTGCTCATGCGCACCGCCTGGTTCCAGTCCACCTACCGGATCGGAGTCGGCGACGTGGTGCCCGACCTAGACGCATCATGGACGGCTGTGAGCAGCGTCTCTTGACACCATACGCCGTGAGCAGGTCCCGTTCAAGACGCAGTTCATCTTTGGCGTCTCCGAGTGGGAGCTCTGGTGGACCCTCGCGACGGGGGCGACCCTCGCCATCACGCCGCCGCCCGTCGTGCGCTCGCCCTCCCTCTTCGCAGACGCCCTCGTCTCCACCGGCATGCTCGCCCCCCTCCGCTCATCCCGTCTCAGTTGAACACCTTCACGACCGGCCCACAATCAACACAGGCGCGACCATCGCCTTCCTCATCCCGTCCCACGTCGACGCGCTCCTCGCGCCGCTCGCCAAGGCGTGCCGGCCTGCGGCCAGGCTGCGGGGCGGCCGGGGAGGCGCTGGCATGCGCCCCTCCGTTCGCCTCGGCCGCCGCCTCAAACTGCGCTCGGTTGTCTGCTGCGGCGAGGCGCTGTCCGCGGCCACTGTGGGCCGCTTCCACGAGGCGCTGCGCGGGAAGGCGACGATCGACAACGTGTACGGCCCGACCGAGGGGTCGATGACGCACTACCGCTGCCCGCACGGGGTGGCGTCGGAGCCGCTCATCGGAAGGCCCATCTCAAACACCGTCGTCCTCGTCATGGACGCGGAGCTGCGGCCGGCGCCGCTCGGCGTGCCGGGCGAGGTTGTGTTTGGCTGCTGCGTCGCTCGCGGTTACCTCAGGCGGGACGACCTCACTTCGGCGAGGTTTGTCGCCAACCCGCTCTGGTCCGAGGCGGAGGCGCGCAAGCAGCCCCTCTACCCGTGCCTTCAGTCCGATGGCGCGGTGCCTCCCTGCCCGCTCCTGTACCGAACGGGCGACCTCGCCGTGAGGAGCGGGGGCGGCGACCTTCGCTTCCTCGGTCGGATGGACCGGCAGGTGAAGGTGCGCGGCCACCGCATCGAGCTGGAGGCGGTCGAGGCCGTGCTGCGCGACTATCGCGACGAAGCCACCGCGGCGCCGCTCTCGCAGCTGGCGGTCGTGGCGAGCGGCGACGAGCTCCTCGCGTTTGTGCGACTCCCTCCGGGCGATGCTCCCCCGGCCGGCGTGCTGTCCTTTTGCGAGGCGAGGCTACCTCGCTACATGGTGCCGTCGCGCCTTATCGCGCTTCCAGCCTTCCCCGCGCTGCCAAACGGCAAGACCGACCTCGGAGGCCTGGCGTGTGGCGGGGCAGACCTCGGCGCGACGGTGGAGACGCTCGGCGGAGGAGGCGGAGGCGGGGGCACGTCGACCGACTCGCTCGGCAACGTGCGTCGCCTCACCGCGGCCGGCGGCGCGCTCGAGGCAGAGAACGGCGTGAGCGACGTGCTGCGCGCCCTCTTCATGTACGGCGTCATCTCGGACCACATGCTCCGCTGCGCCGACGCCACCTCGGGCGGCGCTTGCGGCGCGCTGGCCAAGATGCTGTGGCAGCTTCCGGGCCCGCAGCGCGCGGCGCTCGGCTGGCTCGACGTGCCCTTGCGCATGCTCGGCGGGTACAAGGACATGAGCGGCTTCGTGATGGTCACCGCCTTTGCCGACGCGAGGTACGAGGGCGCGACGCGCTTCTCCAAGCCCGACCTGATCGTGCTGGCCTGCTACCTGATGATGCTGTACGTCTTCGACCCGCTCATCTACGCGGCGTGCGAGGCCGTCGGCGCCGGGGGCTGCGAGGGGCGGACCAACGTGTGGACGGGCGACCACAGGTGGTACCTGCTGATGATGCTCTACACAAAGGCGGCACTCGTCCTGCTGCGGCTATGCCGCGTGCCGCCCTTGGCACAGTGCCTCCTCGTCACCGCCGCGGCCCTGATGATGCCTCCCCGCACGGGCTGCCTCGAGCCGTGGCGCTGCGCCGACAAGCCGGACTGGAGCCCGGCCTGGTGGTCCGGGGCGGCCTTGGCTCCGGGATCGCCCCTCCCGGCCGCCTCGGCCTTCTTCTTTCGCGGCCTGCTCTACGACGACCTCTGGGGCATGTGGTCCGACGCGATCTACCGCTACTACGTCGCCTTTGCAGCGCAGTACTTTTGGACCTTCTACTACGGCCGGCCCGCCTTTGCGCTGCTCCGCCGAACCGCGCTCCTCGCCGCGCCCGCGAGCCGCGCCGGGCGCGTCGCCCTCTTTGGGTGCGCTTTTGTGCTGGTCGAGCTGCTCACCGCCACCAGCTACGGCGCCGCACTCCTGCCGTCGCTGCAGCAGCAGGTCGACGGCCACGGGCCGCCCCTGCTCGCCGCCCTCGCCATCCTCCTCCTCCTCGCCCTCTCCGTCCTCCTCTGCGCCGCCGCCTGCGGCTTCGCCCTCGCCGGGCGGAAGCCGCCGCGCCTGCTGCGGCTGGCGGGCTCGACGACGCTCGGCTGCTACATCTCGCACCGCTACCTCCTCCTCTTTTACAACCGCTTCGTCGAGCGGTGGATCCTCTCGCTGTACGGCCCGCTTGGCGGCGGCGGGCCCGCGCTCGCGCTGCAGCTGCTCCTCTCGCTGCTCCTACCCGCGCTGTACCAAGTCACCGTCGGCCCCGCCACGCACTGGCTCATCCTGCTTCCGGTGAGGCTGCTGCTCCGCCTTGGCCGGCTCGGCCGGCTCGGCCGCCGCCTTTTCCGCCGGCTGTCGGGGAGGCTGCGCCGGCCGCGCCGGCGATCGGTCGCAGCGCCGCGCGGCCGCGGCCTCGCGAGGCTGCTGCACGACCAGGTGGCGGTCTGAGAGGCTGGGGGCGAGGGAGCGGCGAGCGGGCGGGGAAATACAAGGGTGCACGCCTTGTTGTGGGTGGCCTCAGAGCAGGAGCGCCGCAGCCGTTCGAACGTGCGTAGATGTCTGTGCGTGTGTGTGTGGTGTGTGTGTGTGTCCTGTCGCGCCCTATTTAGATGGGTAGGTAGGTAGGTAGAAAGGTGAAGAACAGCCAGGCTCGGACTGGACACCAACGCGGTATGGGTGGACGCGAGACAGATGATGACGACACGCACGAACGACACACAGACACAAACAAGCTCACAAGACACACAGCCAGCTGGCTGCCACACACCCTGAGTTGGCGTATACATAACTCAGGGCCACATTCTTCCTGTCGCCCCCCCCAGCACTCCAAGGTGCCAAGAGAAACAAACAAGGGCACAACAACCAACAGACGACAGGAAGCAACGTGGGCTTAGATGACGCACCCGCGATTTCTTTTTCGTTAGCATGAGAGCCTCCGCGGCGGACAGGGTGGTGCCCAGCGGCGGCGCCAACGGCGGGAGCTCATCGCTGTGGCCGCACCCGCGGTCGGTGCGCGAGTACGCGTCGCATCGCAAGAAGGTGCACACCGTCGCCTGGAACTGCAGCGGCACAAAGCTCGCCTCTGGCTCTGTCGACACGAGCGTGCGAGTGTGGACGATCGACGAGGGCGGCCGCGCGTCGGACGTGGAGCTCAAGGGGCACTCGGACTCGGTGGACCAGCTGCGCTGGGACCCGAAGAACGAGCACCTCCTCGGCACCGCGTCGGGCGACAAGACCGTCCGGATATGGGACGCGCGCACCTCAAAGTGCGTGCACGCAATCGAGACGCGGGGCGAGAACATCAACATCCGGTGGTCGCCGGACGGGCAGCACCTCGCGGTGGGCGACAAGGAGGACAACATCTCGATCATCGAGACGCGCAAGTGCAAGGCGCTGCGCACGATGAAGTTTCCGCACGAGGCGGAGTCGAGAGCCGCCGGGCGGGGGAAGGGGGAGCGGCGCCCTGACTGAGCCGTCTCGGAGCCGCAGGTGAACGAGATGGCGTGGGACCCGAGCGGGCGCCTCTTCTTCCTCACCACCGGGGCTGGCAATGTCGACGTCTTCTCCTTTGTTGACCTCCTCAAGCCGCCGCCGGCGCCGCCCAAAGCCTGGCGACGGCTCCGCCGCTCTGTGTCTCTTCACACCGCACCCGCTGTGAACAGGCGCCGCCAAAGCCTGGCGACGGCTCCGCCGCGCCCGCGCCCGCCGCCACCCTCACCGGCGCCGCGTTTACCGGCTGCCGCTTCCTGCCAGCAGCAGGGGGTGTGACGCCGCCTCTCGTCTCGTGCGTCAGGCCACACTGCAAACTGCTACTGCCTCGAGTTCTCGCCGTCGGGGGAGCGGTTCGCGGTGGGCGGCGCGGACGCGCTCGTCTCGCTCTGGGACGTCAAGGCGCGGCAGAGACACTTCCTAGACACTTCCTAGACACTTCCTGGCACGTCAAGGCGCGGCCGCGCCGCAGACGCGGGCGTGGCGTAGGCGGCGTGGCTTCACGGCTCTTCACACGCTGCGGCTGTGAACAGGAGCTCGCGTGCGTCGCCACCTTCGCGAGGCGCGAGCAGTGCCCGCACTCACCCTAACCCTAACCTCAACCCTCTAGCCCTTACCCTAACCCTCACCCGAACCCTTGCGAGGCGAGAGCAGGGCCCGTACGCACCACGCGTGGCGGCCAGCGCCTCTCCACCCCTCTGCGCCTGTGAGCAGGCTCGAGTGGCCCGTCCGCACCCTCTCCTTCTCGCACGACTCCAGCTACATCGCCGCGGGCACCGCACGCCCCGCCGCAGCAGCTTCGCACGCCGTGAAGGCGACCTCTCTTCACAGCGCGAGGTGTGGACAGGGTCCGAGGACCCGCTCATCGACGTGGCGCACGTCGCGACCGGCAAGCAGGCGCTGCCGCCCTGCCCCGCCAACGGCGTCTCACGCGGCACGTCGCTGACACGCCCGCGCCGCGCCCGCAAGGCGCTCGCGGTGCCCGTCAAGGCTCCGTCCAACTCGATCGCCTTCCACCCGAAGAGGATGCTGCTCGCCTTTGCGGGCGACGACAAGGACAAGATGGGCCGCGACGAGGGCTCCCTCCGCATCCTCGGCTTCCCCTCGTGAGCAGACGCCGCAAAGTATAAACTCGCGCATGTTGCATGCCCCCGCGCACGCACGACTCCGCAGGAGAAACCCCTCCCGTCGTGCGTGCACAGCGCCCTCAGCGCAGCCTCACCTCCTCTCTGTCTCTAAAAGCCGTAAGGTAAGGTAAGGTAAGGTAAACTTCTCCACACACACGAGGTGGGCAAGGGGGGGCAACCCTCGCGTCTCCACGTCTGACGACAGGACCCGCCCGCGCGGGGGGCGCGCTCTGGCTGTCGACCCTCAGACTGTCGAGACAAAATCGAGATTTTGCGAGATCGCACGTCCGGTTGGCCGTTATTTTTGTGAGTCGTGGTTCTCCCGCGTGTGTACTAAACATGTAAGAGGATGCGTAGTACGCACCGTGCACCGAGCTACTGCCACATGTTTTTTTCAGATCCCCCAGAGCGCCCACCCAGACCGCGCCAAACGCGCGTGGAGACCAGTACGCGGCAGAGAGAGACAGAGTCACGGGGCGAGGGGCCCGCCGCAGGGTGGACGAGGCGGGCCGCAGCTAGACTATAGCACAGGGCAGACACTCACGGCGCCGTGGACAGGAGGGGCCGCCCCCCTCCCCCGAGCAGCGGGGTGCACGACAACAGGGAAGCGGGAGCATCTGGCTCTCGACATGCCCTAGGCGAACATGTGTGGGAATCGCTTCGAGACGGAGAGCATCTCTCCGTACATGCCCATGTCTGCGAGGGGTGGGGGGTTGGGGGGGTGGGGAGGTGCTCCGCTTGTGAGGCTGCTGACGGCAGTGTGGCAGCGGGAGGGAGGGTGGGGAAGGGG